AGAGCTGCGCTATGGCTTCATTAGGTACTGTACCTGACAGCAAAGAAGAGCTCACTGAAAATGTCTAAATAAAAACATCCAAGTCCTGACGTACCAGGATGACTGAGCTTCTATAAATGCCAAGAAGACTGATTTGGGTTTGATAAGCTGTGGCTGCACCATCACAGAGCAGTTTCAGGAAGCACTGAGGACATTGATAGAGACCTACAAGGCCCACATGGAAAATGAGCAAGATGAAGCAACATTGCACAGACTCCAGTGCCCCAAAAATGGTGAATGAGAAAGCATGACGTTAAGAATTGCTGCTCTGGATCCAACCCATAGTCTGCTCCAGCCAGTGTTCTGGAGTTTGGAAAAGAATATTTCACAGGATGATATTTGAATTCACACATTTGTTCAGTGTTGATGTATGTCAGGGAGCTCCCTGTTGCATCACCCCCACCTCCAGCGAATACGCTCTATGGATCCCTCATGGGATGCTTACAGCTCATGTCAAATTTCAGAGCTAAATCCAGTTTCCCAAATCAGAGCCCTTCTCCACCAGGCTGTCCAGGGACAAAACTCACGTAACTCAAGCCTGAATCTGTGAGCAGAGATGGGCTCTCCCTGTTGGAGAATGAGAGCATGCATTATTTAAGTTCCTTTTCACTTAATTTATCAAACTAATATGCCGAGGTATTTTCTGTATCACAAGGGACCGTTTGGTAGCAGCTTGCATGGAGTAAGCATTTAATGTTTACCGAGTGAATGTATAATAAAGCTGAATTGCTGAATGCTTAAGTAAACATGGCCTATTAGAGGGAAGGCAACGTGGTGTCAGTAAGGAGAAATCACGTCTCACTAATCTCCTTGAGTTCTTTGAGCAGATAAATAAGCATATGGATAAGAGGGAACCACAGAACCCAATTTAATTTGACTTTCAAAAACCTGTGAGAAAATCCCAATTTAAAGACTGTTTTTAAAAAAATTGAGTCACTAAGGGTTGTTTTACCATCGATATGGAATTGGCTTAAAGACCATAAGCAAAGCTACACATAAGTGGATGCATTCCCAGATGGAAAACTATAAACACTGGGGTTTCCTGGAGAGCTCATCTGCGATGGGTCTTTTTACGTGTTTGTGAATGACCAAGACGAAGAAGACTGCATTGCAACTCCAGGTTCAAGTAATGCCGCATTCTTCTGGGAGGAATGTCAAGTTGATGGAAATTCCATTCAGTTGGGACAAGAATATATTGGATGCTGAAGAGTCAATATGTGTTTATGTCATGGGGTATAAAAAAGAAGTACAAGATACAGTTCTTGGCCTTAAAGAGCTAATAATCAAGCTAGACTGAAAGCCATATCCTCCTTTACTATAAATAGTAGAAGGCACAAAGGGATCAACTGTGACAATGAGTGATGCACGTGGTGAGTGCTGCCAGAGTTCAGGGAAGGGGAAAAGTGCGTGTGGATGGAGGCAGGAAAGGCTTCCTGGAGGAGGCAGAATCTGAGGAGTGTCGTGAAGAACAGCAAGAGTTTGGATGGGTGTGGAAGAGGTGGAGGGTTTTCTTGTGAGAAGCACTAATGTGTCACCTGCCAAGTACTGTGTAGAGGGAGAGGTTATATGCATGATCCCATCTGGCTTTCCGACAGCCCAGTAAGGTGGACCATATCCCCCAACTCCAGGCCTTGAGAGGAGGCCAAGAATAAGAAGTTCTGCCACTGGTTGTGACCATTTCTGCTGAGTCATGTTGATTCAGCTCCACTTTCCACAGATATTTTTAAAAAGAGCTGCCCTGGCTCTTTTTTAAGTTAAGAAATGTGGCCAGGTACAGTGGCTCAGGACTATAATCCCAACACCTTGGTAGGCCAAGGTGAGAGGATCACCTGAGGCCAGGAGCTTGAGACTAGCCTTGGCGACATAGTAAGACCCCATCTCTGCCAAATATTTTTTTTAAAAAATTAGCCAGGCATGGTGGTACACATATGCAGTCCCAGCTACCTAGGAGGCTGAGATGGGAGGATCACTTGGGCCCAGGAGTTTGAGGCTGCAGTGAGCTCTGATCACACCACTGCACTCCAGCCTGGGTGACAGAGCAAGACCCTGTCCCCCCGAAAAAAAAGGAATGTGCTCAAGTTCACGTCATAATCAATATGAGCCCCACTGTTACACTGCCTTCAATTCTGGGGCAGTGTCAGCATGAGCAAGGCAAAGGTTCAGGCCCCTCCAGAGCAGGTGAGGGTGAGCAGGGAGAGGCTGGAGTGACGATTTGTATTGGGGAGCAGTGAGAGACAGTGTTAAGCCATGTTATCAGGGTTGATCATTTAGCCTCTCTGAACCTTAGTTTCTTTGTCTATAAAATAGAGATGATAATTGTATCCATCTCATAAGTTCTTGTGATGACAAGGACACACTCTGGATGGCTCACCTAGTTCAGAACACAGGGAAGGGGACTCTCTAATTTCTTTAAGACTTAGCCCCAAGCACCTCACACAATGGATCTAAGTCACAAGGGCCCTTAATTGTCTGGGGAACTTGGACTTAGTCCTGAAGGCTTAATCCTGTGCTGAGTGGAAGAGGAAGAAAACTGGAACTATACTCTGGAGTCTGGGGCCCTGGACCTAGTCTGGGTGGAGGGGTGGGTGAGGGGATGGTGAAAGAAATTAGGAACGGCAGACAAATGGCTTGGAGGAGAAATTGACCAAAGTTGAGGTCAATGTTATTGAGTCTCCCCTGCTTGAACATGTGCATTAAGTATGTCTGCCCCTAGCATGTGAAATCATTGACCTCTTCTAGGTCAGCTCTCAGGGTCACATGTCCTGGTGTCATGGGAGGAAATATGGAGACACCGGTTGGCAAGTGCCATCTCATGGCTTAGGGGCTCGGACAGTCTCAAGCGCTATGGCAGGCTCCTGTGAGTGCCTTTGCTGCTTGCTAGAATGTAGCTTGGTGGTCCATGCACTTTGACTTACTGTCTTCTCCAACTTCTTTACTCAGCACTCCTTGCTGAGGCTGATGGAGCAACAAGCTATAGCTACAGCTGCATTGAATCATCAGAATCGGTTTCTTGACAGACGGCTTTCAGGGGACTTTGAGCAAGGAGATAGCAATGCAGTGTTTGGGAAAGAGAATCTAGAGGCAGCAGAGAAGCAGTTAAACTTCTGCAATTCCTTCAGCCATCCTGAAGGATGGAGGTAGCAGGCCAGCCACCCCCCTGCAGGCCACATCCCTCTAGAGGTCACATGATGTCTGGAGTTGGGCATGATGCTCTGGGGCTGGAAGAAGATGAGCATATTTTGGGTGAGTGGCCAATTACTCCATCCAACCTTGACATCCAGAAATGTCACTAAGGCAGCTGTGACAGCTGTGGCAGTAAAAAGAGCTCTAGACTTAAGTTGAGAGATGGCACGTGAATCCCTGCTCTTCCTCGTGGTAAGCCATGTTACCAGGGTTGATCATTTAGCCCCTCTGAACCTTAGTTTCTTTGTCTATAAAATAGAGATTATAACTGTACCCATCTCATAAGTTCTTGTGATGACAAGGACACACTCTGGATGGCTCACCTAGTTCGGAACACAGGAAAGGGGACTCTCTCTAATTTCTTTAAGACTCAGCCCCAAACGCCTCCCACCCAATAAGCTTTCCTCTGTCCGCATCCTGGTGGCCTGGGCTCCCCACCTCAGGAGCACTCACCACACTGCATTGTGCTGGTCCCCTTCCTTGTCTGCCTCCCTCACTAAAGCGAGAGTTCCTCGAGGGACACTGTCTCTTTACAGTCGGCACCTACACAGTGCCTGGCATATGGCAGGTATGCAAAACTTTGCCCAATAATCAACAAAAGAATGAATACATTACTTACTTCCCTAAAAAAATGAAAAGTGAGGTCTAATGGGACCCCCAAAAATGGCTGGCATGGTGATTCTCTGAATTCTCACAAACATGTTTATTAATTCACTTTAGACTTTTTCCAAGAATCAACATAAAGTTTACAGGTCTTCTCTGCTAGAATGCCTATCTCCTTATTTTTGGAAAATGGATAGCACTGATACCCATCATTTTTTCATTCTTTATTTCATTTATTTATTTATTTAAGTTTTTTGAGACAGGGTCTCTGTCACCCAGGCTGGAGTGCAGTGGTGCAATCTCAGTTCACCAGAGCCTCCCACTCCCAGCCTCTCAGATTCAAGCATTCAAGCAATTCTCACGTCTCAGCCTCCCAAGTAGCTGGGACTACAGATGTGTGCCACCACACCCGGCTAATTTTTGTAATTTTCTAGAGACAGGGTTTCATCAAGTGGGCCAGGCTGGTCTCAAACTCCTGAATCCAAGCAATCCACTCACCTTGGCTTCCCAAAGTGTGGGGACTACAGGTATGAGCCACCGTGCCTGGCCTGATCGCTGCCATTTTCCGTCACTTCTTCTATCCTTTGGGATTTCTCATCAAAGATAAATAGTAGGACATTTACTTTCCAAAAACAAAGGGATATGTACATGCATGTAGGCTGGAAACTTGAACTAATATAAAGGAGCCCTCTTAAAGCTTCCTTCTCTTACCTGGGGACAAATTTCTTTCCTAATTTGCTTGTCTTCCCTTTCCAGCCTTAGTACTCTTATTCTTTCTGGGAAAGATGTAAGTGCAAGAACCTCAAAATTTTGCTTTCCAACTGATATTTATTAGCCTAGCTCATTCTCCGTCAGTCACTTGGCCTGTGCCCTCTGGATTCCCCCAGCTTTGAACCCAGCTTTAGAAAACCCTCTTGGTTTTAGCATTTTTAACAGCCTCAGCTTCCCTTGAGCTTTAGCTTTCTTGAAGCATTTCTTAAATGTAAATGCTACTCTTTTGTACCAGTCCCATAGATCTCTTTTGAAAAACCGAATTCACTGAGGAACTTAGTTTTGAGTGGAACTGACATAAACCTGATCAGAGGCCTGATTGCATCCCTGTTGGATCTGACATGCAATGCCTCCATCTGAGAACGATTCTCCATCCATCTATACGCAGAAAGAAAACTACGTACCATTCTGTTGGTAAAGTTACTGAAGTTCTCAACCAACACCTGCTTGATCATGTCTGGCTCAGAAATAACAATAAACATCCGACGACCAAGATAGTACCTGGGAGGAATAAAAAATGCATTAAAATGTGTTGCATTTACCCATTTCTCCTTTCCAAAAAAGAATTCACAGTGGCTTAGAATGAGGGATAAAAGATAACCAGGAAGTAAAGGTATGGAAGTCAGGAAGTAAAGTATGTTCTGATCATAAGCAACCATACAGCTGTGATGATCTAACATCAAATTTCTTTCCATCAGCACTCATGGAATGCTACCTTCCACTGGTCCCTGGAGACTCTGGGTTGAATAAGATACACTCCCTGCCCCAAGGAGCTTATTACAGCCTAATAGGAAAGACAGAGCTCTACATGTAAATGCAATAATAAGGGGTTCATAAGATCCAGTAGTAAGACGAAGAAGGAACATGGAAGAGGTCGGTGTTATCCATATTTCCCCAAAACGGAAAGATAGGAATTCTAGCAAGAGAAGACCAATAACCTTTATACTGATTCTCAGGAGAAGTCTAAAGTGAACTAATAAACAGACGCTTGTGAGGAAAGATTAAACCTGTTTGGGAAGAACTGAATATCTGGTCACCACACTTACATATAAAGGAGCTCAACAGGTACTTTTTAATATTTTATTTTTATTTTTGTGATGGAGTCTTGCTCTTTTGTCCAGGCTGTACTGCAGTGGTGCTATCTCAGCTCACCGCAACCTCTACCTCCCAGGTTCAAGCGATTCTCCAGCCTCAGCCTCCTGAGTAGCTGGGATTACAGGTGCCCATCACCATGCCCAGCTAAGTTTTGTATTTTTAGTAGACACAGGGTTTCACCTTGTTGGCTGGGCTGGTCTTGAACTCCTGACCTCAAGTCATCCACCCACCTCGGCCTCCCAAAGTGCTGGGATTACAGGCATGAATTGCCGTGCCCAGCCCTCAACAGATGCTTAATGACATTAACGAAAATATGGACGAAAGGCTCAGCCAGTCAACTGGTGGCATGAACTCTAACTGGAGATAGTGCGTAAATACACGTCATATTATACTTACGAAAGTACCGGGGGCACAAAAGCAAATCAAGACCCAGTCACAGTTTCCAAGGGTCTGACCATCTGACAGGAGAGATAATTAGGCAATTAACATATAGCGTGATGTTCTGGCAGGCATGAGTGACCTCAGAGGCACACCCAACTTAATGCTTGGAGAAGAGAGAGTGAAGGCTTCCCAGAGTTGGTGCTTCCCAAGCTGAGTTCTGGAAGATGAGCAAGAGTTAGTCCAGGAAGAAGGGGTGACAAAGGAGGTGAGGGTGTGCTGGCTGGAGGAATCAGCTAGAGCAGTTGAGCCAGGGACAGGCCTGCTTGGGGGAACCATGAGTGCCCGACTACCAACTGTGCAAAGCAAGCCAGAGTGATGACAAGCGGCCCACTGTGTAATGACATGTTTTCAGTGTATGAAATTATACTTTCAGGGATGTAATTTGATCACTGGTGTATCCAGCTCAGAGCAGTAAGGAACAGATTTTAAAGGGGAAAGTCACACTGAAAAGCAGCCAATTTTCCTCTGGCACTTATTTACCAAGAACTTTTCATAAACCCAAATTACATTAATAGTTTTAAATTCTTCTCCTTCTCATTGACTATGGAAAACAATAAAAATATTTGTCTGGCACATATTAGGCACTTGGAAAATATTTACCTGAGTCATCATATTTTCCAAAATTGTCAGGAAAATCTTTGGGAAACAGGAATTCAACAGATGTGGTACAAAGAAAGACAAGAATACTACCTAGCTTTTGTGTTTGTTTGTTTGTTTTTACTGATTTTAACCAAGAAAACCAAAAACAACTCAATAAGGCCATAAACCAATGCTTTTATAAAATTTGTGGTGAGGGTCATGGAGTCTTTTGAGAATCTAATGAAAACTGTGGACACTTACAGCATTCTGTATACAATTTAAGAAGTCCTTGGATCTCTCAACCCCACTCCAGAGCAATGTTTCTCAAATATACAATGTGCTTAAAAGTCACCTTGGCTTGAAGAAATAACAGCTGAAAATTTCTGAATTTTGCAAAAGACATAAACCTACATATTCAAGAAGCTGAGTGAATCTCAACTGAGATGAACCCAAGGAAATCCATGCCAAGATACAACATAGTTAAACTTCTGAAAACTAAAAAAGAAAGAAAAACATTGTGAAAGCAACTGGAGAGAAATAATGTATTATCTGCAGGGAACACCAGTTCAAAGGACAGCAGGTTTTTTGTTTTTTTTTTTTAAATCAGGAACCATGGAAGCCAGAAGGAAGTGGTACATTTTTCAAGTACTGAAAGGAAATAACTATCAATCACAAGTCATCTATTTGGTGAAAGTATCCTTCAGGAGAAAAGTGGAAATAATGGCATTCTCTGATGAAGGAAAACTAAGAGATTTTGTCACTAACATATTTACCCTTAAAGAATGGCTGAAGGATGTTCTCCAAACAGAAAGGAAAGGGAGATGATAACAGAAGAGAGTTTGGAACTTCAGAAAGGAAAGAAGGACAATGAAATGGATAAAAATAATAGACTATCCTTCTCAGGAGTCTCTTAAGTCATACTTGATGGTTGAAGCAAAAATTACACTACCATATGATGTGGTACTCAATGTACTTAGGGGATATACTTAAGACAATTATATTTAAAAAGTAAGGAGGCTAAAGGGACCAAAATGGAAGTAAGATTTCTACATATCACTCAAAATGATAAGGCATTCATACTCATAGATTGTGATAAATTATATATGTGTATTTACACAAGAACTAAGAAAAACTATTTAAAAATTATAATAAGCTAAAATGGAATTTTGAAAAATGTTCAAGTTATCCACAAAAAGGTAAGAAAAATGAAACAAGGAGCAGAAGGAATAAAAGAGAACAAATACACTACTATAATGGTGAATATAATGTAATACCTAGGTAACAATATATCAAAATGTGTGGCTGCAGCTAAAGCAATGTGGAGAGAGAAAGTGATAGCACTAAATGCTACTTTAGAAAAGAGGAAAGATCTTAAATGAATAATCTATGTTCCTATCTCAAGAAACTAGAAAAAGAAGAACAAAGAACCTTATCAAGCACAGGGAAGGAAATAATTAAAAAACAAGTGCAGAACTCTATGAACCTGAAAACAAAAACCATAGAAAAATTAATGAACAAAAAACTGGTTCTTTGAAAAATATCGATAAAATGGATAAACCTCGAGCAAGACTAACAAAGATAAAAGAGAGAAGACAAAAAACACCAACATCAGGAATGAAATGGGATATCACTACAAATAATGCAGCTATTAAAAGGATAAGGGACTACTACAAACAACTTTAGACTAATATATTTAAAAACTAGAAGGAAATTGACCAATTCTATGAAAATCATAAACTACTAAAGCTCAACCAAGATGAAGTGGGCAATCTGAATAAATACAACCACAAACAGTTAATAATTTTAATTAAATTTCAGAATTTAATTATTTGTATTTTTTATTTGAATTCATAATTTAAAATTTCCTGAAAAACACATCTCCAGGCCAGGATGGTTTCACTGGAGAATTCTACCAAATATTACAAGAAGAATTAACACTAATTTTACAATATCTTCCAGAAGATAAAAGAGGAGGGAACACTTCACAACTCAATTTATGAGGACAGGTTTACTCTGATACTGGAACCAGCCAAAGATAGTACAAGAAAACTATAGACCAGTATCCTTCATGAGCTTAAACACAAAAATCTTCAACAAATCAAATCTAGCACTGTATAAAAAGACTTATATACCAAAACCAAGTAGTATTTATTCTAGGCGTCCAAGGCTGATTCAGTATTTTCAAATCAATCAATGTAATTCACCATATTAATTGCCTGAAAAATAAAAAATTATGTGATTATATCAGTTGACATGAGAAAGCATTGACAAAATCCAGCACTTGTTCATGATAAAAACTCTCAGGAATAGAGAGGAGTTCCTCAACTTGATAAAGGGCAACTACAAAAACCTTACAGCTAACATCATACTTCATGTGAAAGACCGAATGCTTTTCCTTAAGATGGGGAACAAGGCAAGAAGTCCTCTTTCACTACTCTTATTTGACATAGTATTGGAAGTTCTAGCCAGTGCAATAAGGCAAGAAAAATAAATGAAAAGCATATAGACTGAAAAGGAATAAATATAATTGTCCCTATTTTGAGATGACATGATATCTACAGAGAAAATACTAAGAAATTTAAAAACAATCTTAGAACTAATAAGTGAGTTCAGCAAGGTTGCAGGATTCCAGATCAACATACAAAAACAAAAACAAAAACAAAATCAATAGCATTTCTATATGCTAACAATGAACATGTGTCAACCAAATGAAAACACAATGCCATTTACAATGTTGATGACAGAAATAAAAGAAGACCTAAGTAAGTGGAGAAACATATCATGTTCATGGATTGGAAGACTCCACAATGTAAAGATATCAATTCTCCCAAAACTGGCATATCAGTTTAATGTAATTCCAATCAAAGTCTCAGCAAGAATGTTTGTAGGCGTAGACAAACTTGTTCCAAAACTTATATGGAAAGGCAAACAACTTCAAATAACTAAATCAATTTTGAAAAAAGAATAAAGTGGGAGGAACCAGTCTACTAGATCCCAGGACTTGGCTATAGTCGTCAAGACTGTGTGGTATTGGCAGAAAGACAAACACATAGATCAATGGGACAAAATATAGAACCCAGAAGTAGACCCACATATATATGCTCAACTGATAATTTTGATAAAGATACAAAAGCAATTCAGTGCAGGAAGGGTAGGTTTTTCAACAAAAGATGCTAGAGTAGGCTGGGCACTCTAGCATAGTGGATCATGCCTGTAATCCCAGCACTTTGGGAGGCTGAGGCAGGTGGATAACTTGAGGTCAGGAGTTTCAGACCATCCTGACCAACATGGTAAACCCCATCTCTACTAAAAATACAAGTAACTATCCGGGCATGGTGGCACATGCCTATAGTCCCAGCTATTCGGGAGGCTGAGGCAGGAGAATT